AATTACAACAATTTCAAAATAAAATCTAAGTCCTCTAGCAGTCCATCCGTCCCTTCACTGAGTCGGGTATTGATTGTCTTGATTATCTGAAAAATGAATGTAAGAGTGAGTACTCTACACTACCCAAAACACACATTTAACATAGAGTCTCACCTCCAGAACCTTCCCAATACATTCAACAAACACAATCACAGGCAGCAATTCACATCCATAAGTACAAAACACAAATCTATGCATACGCATACCAGCCAGACTCACTATAGTACTGTGATCACAGATTTATACCATGAATGGTCGCCGGTTACCCCCATCTCATGGATACTACTTGGGCAGTCACGGGTCGCTCCGCAAAGATAGTAGTTAGAGGTTTAGTCAAGAAGAGAGAGTGTGGCCCGTGGTGCACCTGTTCCGCAGTTGGTGTCACCACCACTCCCTCTTCCCCAAGGTATTTCTACCGTCCTTATCTTCTACATCCCCAGTGTATCGCTGAACCATTCACAACACATTACAATGACACTAACACGTCCATTCACACATGCAATAGTCATGCTTACACACGGCACACAGCCCACATGACACTCAAATACACGGCACTAGGCCCACATTTATCCACAATATCATTAATTCACCAATCAATGACATTCCATCACACACAATCACCCTCACGGGGTATAATTATTCTATCACACATCACATTGCCTATCAATTTCCATCAAACACACAATTTCTATTTTCTATCTCAGACACATTGTAATAATCATCAAAACACACAAGAACTACAATACATTGAGATAGGGTAGAGTCCCTCCTTACCTTGAATTGAAGACCCACACTCGAATTTAACCACGGACGTGCTCCCTACACAGATTGCGGCCTAAAACACATGGAAGAACTTTATGAGAACCCAAGGAAACCCAGAAACAGAGAAAAGGGGATGAGAACCGAAACCCTAACCATTAAAACTTACTTCCAAGCGTTCCCTACATGGATTCAACCTTCAATCAAGCTCTCGAACGACTTTGGAGGCAATTAATCGATGGAATAAGGCTCTGGGAACGAGAGGATCAAAGAAATTTTGAAGGGAGAAGGAGAAATAACTCTCCCCGAACCCTAACCCCCTTTAAATCCTTTTTTGGTCACGATACTCTCGCTACAATGAGATATTCTGCATGGAGACATCGTTGCAGCGACACGCTCTCTCGCTACAGCAAAAAAATCAGAGAAAACTGCACTCTGGTTTCTGCAGAATCTCGCTACAGTGAGACCCTCTCGCTATAGCGAGACTGCACCCAGAATTGCACCCCAAACTGTCGTTTTATCGGTACAGCGAGAATGCGACAGTTCTGATCTTTCCTCCCAGGGCCCTCTCGCTGCAGCGAGAACAACCCAATATTTCGCTCTGTACTTAGGCACTTAGCCCATTTCAGTCCAACCAGTTATGCATACACACACACACACACACACACACATATATATATATATATACACACATACATATTCACAACATATATCTAAAAAATATACACATGAATATACATTTAGATTTATATAAATACAATAAATAATATTACCGAAATTCGGAACGTTACATAACACTGTCGGGGGATTGTAGAATTTGAAGAGCTACTTGCCCCAGTCATTCTAGCAACTCGGGTATGTTTGCGTGCCCCGTCAGCACCAGTCGCCCCAGCTGACTGGGAGTGCTTCCTTTTCGCCTTCTTTGTCCTTGCCCTTGTCCTTACGCTTTTTCGGCTGGCCCTTAGGGAGGACAAGGTCTCGGGGAGGAAAGTGATGCTCGGTTACCTCTGGGACATTGTTGAGTTGGGGATGACGATGCTCTTCAGTCGATACGTTACCTGGAGTCTGCCTTCTTAAACTGTGATGGTAGGTCGACATATTTATGCCTTTTTGAGCCATTAAACCTACAACAAAAACAAAGATTCAAATCACTACAACTTGATTAAAAAACTAAACTATAAAAATGAAGCATACCATCCATATCCAATCGGGGATGAGGGGACTTTAGCAAAAGGATGAGGGCTTAGACAGAAAGCTCTCGGGAAAGAGACTTCAAGTACTTCAGGGCTAACAACTCTTCAACCGACAACAAGTTCTCCGAGAAAATGTCATAACGACGAGGTACCCGGGTCCAATAGAAAGGGAAAAGCAGGTTATTTTCGCTATCCAAAAAGTATTTCCTACATATAGGTTGCACAGTTACTTTGAAGTAACCAGTCTTAAAACCCTTAAAAGAGAAAATATAAGGTTTGAAAAGCGGCAATTCTGGTTGCCTAATTAAAGATACCCATCTTGCTAAGTCTGAAAGACGAGTACAAAAAAAATGAAGAAACAAACCTACACTAGGCTCTATGTAATGAAATTTACAAAGAATTCTAAAGGCTTGTATAGCTGTCCACCCATTCAGATGGAGTTGTGTCGGCACTACATTTAGAACCCTCAGTGTACTCCCATTTGGAAGTCGTCAAAGGGTAGCCTTATACCTAATTCCCTAAACATATATTCATATACAAAGAAGGTGTCCGCCATCCCGACACCTCCTAAAAATATTAAGTCAGGATTGTTGGACCCATCCCCTCGGCAGGTATCGACAACGATGGGGTACGACTCTGAAGATTCCCATAGTGATATATCACAATGATCTACAAACGACTGGAGACTCCTATTATTTTGGAAACGTGAGAAGTGGGCGGCTACTTCACCATGAACTTACTCATATTTCGGTGTGGTAGAAGGTGGGAAAACTGGTATTTCTCTAGGGAGGCTTGCATTAGGTAGCGATTTGACAGAATCCAAGTCCTCGGAATTACCAGACGGCTCGACATTACTATTACACTCTCTCAATCCCTCACCGCCCAACCCATTCGATCCTGGAGACATCTCCCTGCCCTTATCGGTTTCCCCAACACCCTGAACCTCATATGTAGTCTGCCTCGAACTATCCGACAGCGAGTCTTCCCATTCAATGGAGTCAGCCATGATATAAATCTAAACAGTAGAAGAAAGGACAACTATGCGTACCTTACAAGCTGTCGGCAAAAAGAAAACTTCTAAAAAGTATACCCCTCGGCCTAGAGGTTGTAAACAAGACAGAAAATACTCTCTTGGTTTGGAGCAAAAGGGACAAAGGGAAGCCTGAACCACCATATATTTATAAAACCTAGAGCCGGAAAAATGGGCTGGCCCGATGGATTTGGCCCAAAAAACCCGTTAAATGGGCGAGTTTGAGCTCTAAAAAATAAGGTCCGAAATTATCTTGGGCCATTTTGGCCCGATCCGAATAAGCCCAGTACTCAATAGGGCTTTAACCGGGTTGACCCATGCAGGTTCGGGTAGCCCGTATATATATATATATATATATATATATATATATATATATATATATATATATATTGAGATTAAACCTTGAGTTTTAAGGAGTTTGAAAGGGAATATATTTTAGTTTCAAAACCTTAAAATTACAAGTCTAAATTATATACTTTTGCACCGCTACAAAAACAATAAAAAAAAAGAAACCAGTGGCCTTTTACAACTTAAAAAAAAATAGTATAATACAAAAATTGGACATAAAAAAGAGTGGTCTATTAAGTTCTTTCTAAAATAACTTAACATGGTATGTTACAAATATTAAAAATAGTAATAAAAACAATGATTTGTTGTTATAAAAACAGTAAAAAAAAATGACATGTTACAAAAATAAGAAAAAGAAAAAAAATTATTTGAGTTGTCGGGTCAGCCCGCAGAAGCCCGTAGCCCGCATAGGATAAGGCTTGGGCAGTAAAAATATAAGTCCATTTTTATCTTGGGCTAATTACGCTCGACCCGTTTGAGCCCGCTACCTGTATTGGGCCAGGCCAGGCCGGACTGCTCGTTTTGACTGCTCTAATAAAACCAGAGGTGTCGGACATACGAAGGGTCACATCACTTCCTAATCATCAGATCTTTCTCAGATCGACGGATCCAATCTAGCACCCTTTCGTTTCAGAGGCACAAAAATCGGGGAAACCCTAACAAAAAATATCTCTGACACCTTAAAGTGCCAAAATCATTATTCATGGGAAAATGGGCCAAAACCAAGGCAGAGTTAGCAAGCCCATTTGCCCATCTCTGAACATATATTTGGTTTGTACCTCCTCAGCCTATTTATCTCTTCATTAGATCGAATACCCCTTCGATTTTCTCACCTTTTCACCACAACCGAACACCCCCTTGACTCTTAAACCGAATACCCCTCGACCCACTTACCTCTTCATTAAAGCCGAGTACCCCCTTCATACTCGTATTTCTTGACCGAAACAGAAAACTCGTTTATCTATATGTTATGGGTAAATATCTTTTTAAGCCCTTGCATCGTACCTCTTCGGGCTTGGGAGCTAGTGTACCAGATAAGACACTATCTGGTCTTACCTACAGAAAAGGGGAACCGAGTACCCCCTCGATCGTATAAGGTAATTAACCTAATTAAGGGTAATAATCAAATTATTATCTACTATCAAAGGGTCAAAACCAAGACAGACTTAACAAACCCATTAGCCCATAATACTTCCTATAAGAGGAAGGTAAGAGGTACAGGTAAATGGTTGACTTTTAATTATTAAATAGTATTTGCTGCTTAGAACCGAAACCTGACTTCAGTATCGGAGTGTCTTTTGCAAGTACCCTTCCCACGTCAGCAACGTACGGAAGGACGTCATCATACCTAGGCAGAGGTCAGAAGATTAGTGTTTCCCGAATAGGAACACTTAGCTTTAATTCATATCATATTTTATATAACAGTTGTAATTAATATCATATTTTAAAGATTAAAAAATATTAACATCTTTTTTAATTAAACTATTAATTTTATTATTTACTAGTATAAAATTACCTATAACATTCAATTATCAATTATGAAGGGTATCAATGATTTAGCATAAAACAAATGGCATAGCCTGCAAATAATTGTGATGGACATTAAAAACTTAAAAAGGCTTGGGTTGGGTGGGTTGTGCAACTGGTTTTGATATTAATTTGGCATCATATGATTAAAGCAAGTTATCGTTTCCTTAAATTGATAACTTCATATTTTATGCCATGAAGGCATACATGGTATTTGCCAGATTAATTTTATCTTGATTTATTACAAGTAACTTCATCCATTAAGTGGTGTACATGGGAGCCATCGTTACTAACAATATGAAATGCTTCAAACTATCAATCATCTTTAGCAACTTATTTTGTTAACTTCATGGCTAAACTAGATTAAAGATAACCCTTTTCCTTGCAGCATTCAATTGCATCCTGAAACATGTCCTCAAGGCTATACTTGAACTTAAAACCAGCATCCACCAGTTTCTTGGAGGTTAAATGTGGTAACTTGGCACCATTAATTTCCTTCAGCTCCCTAGAGGAAGAAACCAAATTAAATATCAATTAAACAATGAGATCAGGGTGATTATATATACTTGTATATTTAACATAGCATTTGCATGGTGAAGGACAATGTAACTCACTCTACTGTTGGAATTTGATATTCTGGGTATTTGGCTGAAAGAAGTTCAGAAATCTCTTCAATAGGTACAATGAATGATGAGCAATTATATCTCCCTTTTGGATTAGGATGCTCAAGAAGGAATATATGTGCTCTAGCCACATCATCCACATGCACCATATGGAAACGAGTGACACCAATTTCTTCCTTTTTACCTGCACCATCAATTTCTTTTTACTAACATAGAGTAAAGGTAATTTCTTTATAAAAAAAAATGTATTACTTGACTATTAGTTTTTAAGACAGTAAGTGTCATTTACTTATAATTTTAATTTTATAATTTTTTATTTATCATCTGACTTTTCCATATATCGTTTATTTTATTCTTTTCTTGCATTTTCAATTGCATTAAATGAGAATTTACTGGATAAAATATCATAATTGACCCTTAAATCAAACACAGCATGGGAACAAAAGGAAAAAAAAAAGAGAGAGGAAGAAACAGAGTAGAACAAGGTGAAGAGTTTATACCTAAGACCAAAATCAGAGCTCTTTCAACAGAATCAGGAAGCTTGGGACAAATGAAGCGACCAACAACAAAAGGAGCTATGAGAGAAACAACCTCCAACCCATGTTGCTCTCCAAACTCAAGCAATGCCTTCTCAGTCAACACCTTTGAAACCGCATAAGACCAACCAAATGGCTTCACAGTCCTAAGCAAATCTACATCGCTCCAAACACTCTCATCCACTACATCTTTTTGTGTGCCACTAAATGAAACGGTGGAAGCACTAGAAGTGTAAACCACCCTTTTCACAGTCTTTGACTTGAGACATGCTCTCAAAATGCCTAATGCCCCATCAACGGTTCTTTTGGTCACTGTTTCCTCTGCCTCGCTCACTGCAAAATCAATAGGAGTAGCCGTGTGGAACACCCCAACACACCCTTCTACTGCTTCACCAAAACTTTCTGGGTTGCTAAGATCAGCATTGAAGATTTTTAGCTTTTCTGATGCCCCAGGTAGATTTGTCAGAAAACTAACATCTCTCTTACGTCCTGTTAATGTCACAGTAGACAAAAAATGTAACCTTGTTTAACATTAATTGCTATGCATATGAAATTTTGCACTAGCATCAATAAATTATATTTACATTGTAAGTAACTTTATATAAAGTATTAGCATTATTTTTCAATTAAATTGATAATTTATAAGATAAAACTCAACATTAAAGATGAACAGATATTATTTAAGTAAGACTAGAACCATATTAATGGTATTTATAAAGCTAGAGATAAAATTTGTACTTAATTTACCTGGATCAGATCTAATGGTGGTATTAACAGCATATCCATCTTGAAGGAGTCTCTTGATGATCCATGAAGCAAGAAAACCTGTACCTCCAGTGACACAAACTCTACCTTTCCCCTCTGCCATTTGATCACTCTTCCTGTGGCAGTGTTTGATGTCCTCAACTTCTATTTCGTTTGTTCTGCTGGTTGTTGTGTGTATAAATAAATAATCAAAACGGTCAACACACACAACGTTGGTTGGTTGCTTTTGCTATCACCCGAGCTCACATTTTAGTATTGCTGTTGGACTCTTCTTTCAGTCAATTATTCCGTCTTTGAATGGATTTTACCATCAAGAAAACTTAGTCACACTGTTATAAGTACTTGTAACATTATTTTTTGATTGAACTTAATATTTTATTTTAACATTAATACAATAAAAATTTACATTACAAATTAATGTATACTATTAAAATAAAATTTTAGTTTTTATTGTTCGGTCTATGACAATTAGTTTGAGATAAGAATAGTTTGAATTGAACTTAAGAAAAAAAATATCTAAGACAAAAAACTTCTAGAAGATGAGTCATTTTGACATCAAATGTTAAATAATTTAACATAACTAGAGATGATATAAAATAATTTAACAATAAAATTAATTAATTTTACATTTTATAAAAATATTAAATAATATAAATATTTAACTCAAAATTAAAAGTTATTTTAAAATTTATATAAATATTTTATACATTTCATCTCTACCATTTTAATACTACTAAAAAAAATTAAAGAAACTAACTTAACAAGCATTAACTTTTTTTAGCAATGTTATATATCAAAATTAATTCATAAATAAATGTAATTATAGAGATATAATATATTTGAACCTCAAAAAGTGTTATAAAAATATTATTAACATATTTTTATTATATCTTAACATATTTTTAATAGACATTTATTTATGATTTTTGATTAACTTTAAATAAAAGTAATGGCGAGAGAGATTTTTATTTTACGACTTTTCTCTCCATTTATATAAAATATTATATTAAATAATGAAAGTCAAATTTGTACAACTCCCAAAGAGTAGCTGGTTGATGTGAACTTTCAAACTTAGAATAAAATATTTGATATTTTGTAGGCTGCCACAAATCCATTGAATTGGAAAGCTTATGAAATTCCAAAAAAAAAATGGTTGGAATCGCGAGTTCTTTCTTTTGTTTTTGGTCAACAGGAACGAGTTCAACTAACACGTGTGGCAACCTACTGAATTGCATTTTTGTTTCGTAATTGGAGCAAATTAATACACTTAGTTAAAATTACCACACATAAATACTTTATCACTTAATAAAACTTCGTTAATGGCAAGCATAATTGTGAATATAAGAATCATAACCAAATTTTTTTAATTTTTTAGAGACAAAAATGTATTTATTTATTTTATCATGTTTGTTTAATGACGTATATGGGCATTAGCCAGGTGAGCAATACCACATCCTTAGTTAACAATAGATAATTAATGGTGAGGTTTACATTTACACACATTAACAAAAGACTAAACTTAGATTAAAAAAAATTATTAGCCACCAAAATTAAATTTTGATAATTTTATACGAAGAAAGGAGATGCTGGAATTCCCTGGTTATGGTTAACACTGCATCATCCATGATTGAGAATTGCCAATTTTTCAATGATTCAGGATGAAGCTTCTAATGCCCAAAAAAATTCCAATTTCCATCCAATTCTCCATAAACCCTAGATTCACCCACCCAACGTCCACCACCCCTGTCGGTACCCACAGGGAAAGCCTACCACGCAGGCAAAAGAGAAAATTTTATTTGCCTCAACAATTAGGGTACAACAGAGATTTTCATTTTTTTTTCATTGGAAGAAATTCATGATTCTCCTAGTTTCGCCACTAGTGGCTATGGTTGTGTTTTAGGATCACCACCAAGTGTGCAAAGGAGCAATCTTTTGATGCTAGTTTGTGGTGGGGTTCCTCTACTTTTTTCTCTTGAGCATGCATAGATTCGGAATTACCATGGCTTGGAACGTATTCAAGCTCTGTATTGCATTACGAGGATTGGGCTCGATCATGATACTATTGGTTTTTGGGATTGTGGGTGTTACCTATTACGCTATTGTGTTGACTAATTATGGACCTTCTTTGTATAACGGTGGTCTTGATTCTCTTACAGCCTTTGTGGTGTTGATCTTGTTTCATTGTTTGGTAAGCTTCAAATTTCTATTTGTTTTTCACAAAAGAGTTCACAATAACTTTCTTATAGCTAATTTGGGGGAGGGGGTTGTGAATTTGTGTTTTTGATCATTGGGTTTGAATTTGACTTGTGATTTTTTGAAATTGTGAGCTTTTCTTTAAATAAAATTCAAGGGAAAAGGTTTGCCAATCTTTTAAAGAGCTATGGATCATAATAACTTTTTTAAAGTTTTTGGAGTATGATGTTTTGTTTTACCTCGACTTGGAGCGCTTATCATTCAGCATTCTGTCGATTTGGAAATGTAGCTTCCTTGAGAAAGAAACCTTTAGATATTTAATTTAAAGAAAAATCAACAAACTCTTTGAAATTTGCTTTTCGTGATTAGTCTATTAATTTATTAAAAAGTAAAAATACTTACATTTCAAATGAATTGCTTTTTAAAAATTTGCTTTCGGTTTTTAAAAAATTTAATTATGAAGAGTGTGTTCAAAAGATTTCATGATTTTTAATATGGGAACAAATAAATGATTATAATAATTTCATATTTCTTTATGATTGTGCAGTTGGTTATGTTATTGTGGAGTTACTTTACGGTTGTGTTTACGGACCCTGGGATTGTACCTCCTAACTGGAAGCCTATTGTTGATGAGGAAATAGGAGAAGATGATCCATTAAATGGGTTAGAATTAAGCAATGTGCAATATGGCACTTCATATAAACGAAATCGATATTGTCGAAAGTGCAATCATCCCAAGCCAGCTCGATGTCATCATTGTTCAATTTGTGAGTTTGGGTACACAACTTTCCATTTTATGTTGTTATATTGAAACAAAGTGAGGATAAGTTTGACCTTTATTGGTTTGATATCAGGTGAACGTTGTGTGCTAAAGATGGACCACCATTGTGTCTGGGTAGTTAACTGTGTTGGGGCCTTAAATTATAAGTATTTCCTCCTTTTCTTGGTATGGGCACCTCAATTTGAAAATTTTTATGTTAACTTATTAGTGATCATGTGACTTAAATAGTTTTCATAACATCTTCCATGTCCAAAATTGCTTTTCATACCCCCCACAAATTTTGAAATGGCTTTTTATCCATTCATGTCTTGATTGGATCTATAATACTGAATGAGTATCTGCAAACTTTTCTTTTTTTCCTTTGATTATTTCATTTACAATATGTTAACAACCTTTATTGTTTGTTCTCTTTGTTGTTTATTGGTAATAACTTAATTACGCGAATCTCTACACTTCACTATAGTATAGAAAAAAATTGGTTTGATTCCATTTATCCCTTGTAGAATCCTTAGGACTTAGGAGTCGCAATATTCCATCTCATCACCATTATCACCTCTTTCACTTCTTAAACATTTTCAACTTCATCTTGTTTAAATGGCGGTTGTTCTTTGTTCTTTTGCCTTTCATGTTGCTCATTTTCACAAAGATTCAAATTTATAGTAACTTTATTAATTAACAGATTTTTGGGAACTTATGATTAGTATAAATCATATAAATGACAAGTCTTTATAATTAACAGTTTACCATTAGTGTTTAACATGAACAGTTGTGAATTTGTTGCATTTTTTGTACCTGTCACATCAAAATATAGTGATTATTTAATGTAATTTTAAATCTTATTGCAGTTTTACACTTTCCTTGAGACCACTCTTGTGACTATATCATTACTACCACATTTCAAAACATTCTTTACTGATGGAGAAATTCTTGGAACACCTGCCACTCTTGCCACAACTTTTGTTGCATTTGGTTAGGTCCTGAATCCTGGTTTCTAATTTTAGTTGTCGGTTCCATATTTGATTTTTTATAACACTATTGTATTTGTTGCAGTTTTGAATCTGGCCTTTTCCTTGAGTGTCTTAGGATTTCTTGTCTTTCACATATCATTGGTAGCTTCTAATACAACCACTATTGAGGTAAACTTTGTACTCTAGCTTTCCCCATTTTTTTAACTTAAGAAATCACTTTATCTAAAAATGAAAGAACCTATGAATTCTATTTGTCCCTTATATGTGTTTTTTTTTCCCACATAAATAAACTGTTTTGGTCTTAGTTAAATGATAGTATGTAGCTGCATTGAAATTGTGAAATCTTTGATAATACATGCATGAACTAGCCATTCTGATAAAGGGGCGAATTTCTTTGGGTGTGTATGCATGTGTACTGTGTGTTGTGAAAATATTAGTGTATTCTTTGTAATGCTTTTCTTGTCCTAATAAGAGGATAGCTTATGTATTGTTGGTACTAATGAAATTTTCTTCGTTCTGATGAGAAGGCATACGAGAAGAAAGCTGCCCAAAAATGGCATTATGACCTTGGTTATAGAAAAAATTTTAAACAGGTTTGTGCATGTTACTATGTTGGTATATATTGTTTTTATTCTTTTCTTGTTAGATATTTTTTTTGGTTGGTATTAGATCTACTACATTCAAATTCTTTAAAAAATTATGGGAACACACCTATTATCTGGTGTATTAACAACTCAAGAACTAAATCTACCTCATCAAAGTAATCAAGCAAAAATATTATGGCATTATCAATAAAATTGAATCTAAAACTCATGAAATTAGTCATAAATGATTGCAGTTACATTTGTTGGAAACAAATAGTAAAACTCTATCACTCTAATCTAAAAGGAGAATGCTAACACTCGTTAACTATTTGTTATACTGAGAAAACAAAAATCTTCAATTCTTGACTTCTTTAAGTAATTAAAAGTATTTAATAAAATATATTAAATACTTTTGACTAGACCCTAATTCTTATTTTATTGCAGTTCAAGAAGCACAGTTTGTAAAACATCTAGCCAATTGTAAAACATATGATTTTCTTTAAGTGACAAATGTATATTATTGCAGAAGCTAATTTAGGCTCTAAAGAGTGGAAGTCATTATGTTGGGTGCCATTTATTTCATTGAAAATGGAATATAATGACATTTCCCTGTGCCATGAACTAGGTTTGGCATAACTGATTTGTCACCCTTGTTCCCTCGTTAAGTAGTTTCACACTCAAACCAGTGTACCACTGATGTTGCAATCAAAATTGACATGGATTATGGCAAATCACTTTTAGACTACGATGCCATTAGATTAAAATTTTTATATTTATTTGAACATCAATACAAATATTCATTTATTTGTGTGTTTATGTTTTCAAAAGCATCAAATTATTATTATTATTATTATTATTATTATTTCTGTAGTGATTACTGTAATTGTGGTTATGCGTACAAAATATAGAAATATTTTTACTCATTTTGTATAGGAAATTAACTTTGGAACAAAAATTTAGATTGGGCTGCCAATGGGTATTGGGTGAATAAATAGGCTTGTGATATGCCCTTGACCTTGTATCTAAGCAACTTTCCCTTACCCAAACTTTTCATACATAAAAAAAAAAAAAAATCAAAGTGGGTTTGGCTTCATGCAACCATACAACTTAGACCTTAATCCCTGATTGAGTTAATGACCATAGCACCATTGTTTGAGTTCCTGAGATATTTTAGATTGTGCATTATTAATTTGACCCAACTGCTTCTAGAACTGATAAAAACAATTGGTAGAACATCCCGAATTGATAAACATAGGTCAAGTTGATAGTTTGAGTAAATAAAGTTTAATTGGAGATGATAAATTTGAACATTCACTGCAATAAGAAATGTTGCTTTAGGAATAGAAGTTGTCGATATTTTTTTTTATTCTAATGCAAATAATAGAACACATCTATATTTTGTTTCACTTTGGTGTATATGTTAGAATAGCAATGTGTTTTCTCCACATTGCCAAAGAAACTATCATGCTGATGCTTTCTTGTTCCCATCTCTACCAGTAAGAGTAAATTGAATGTAGAATAAAGAAGGGGGCAGAGAGAGCTAGAGAGAGATTTTTAAAAGGTCTTTTTACACCAAGGAAAATCATGTTCTCTCTGGAGCTTTTCTTAGGTGTAGAATGGTAAAATATATGCATATGTATTTATTGACCTTGCATTAATCTTCAGTATCTCAAGTGCTTTGTTTGTGTGAAGCTAAGGAGTTTTGGAATACCAAGATGGGAAAATCGAAATAATTAAAGTTGCAAAGCTTGAAACTTCAAAAAAATAAAGTTAAACTTTCATTGCACTTATGCCTTTACATTTCTTAATAAAGGTGCTTTCTCCTATAATCTTAGCAGATGAAGGAAGTGTTTTGTCCACATGACATATGATTCTACATTTTATGCTTAGCTAATTATATTCATTTTGATTTTCTATAATTCCTTGTACATGATTCTTGGGGTTTTCTCATTTCATCATTGTTGAACAAGTTAGAAACTCAAAGCTTATACGTTATGATTTATGTTACTGTGGTATCAGGTTTTTGGTATGGACAAGAGATATTGGTTCATCCCTGCTTATTCAGAAGATGATAAACGAAGGATGCCAGTTCTTCAGGGCCTTGAGTTTCCATTAAAACATGACCTGGACGCCCAAGGTTGAGAGTTAGCATTGCCACATCAAGAGAAATTGCTTTTACCTTTGTGTAACACAAAACATGAAGCATCCAAAGCTCTTTTGATCTCTAAAAGAATCTATAGTAATTTAAGATCCTAGCAACAATTGATTTGCACAAGTAACTTGGTATGATTAGTGTCATTGTTGCTATTAGTGCATTTTTGGTGAAATGTTAATTTTGGAAAAAAAAATCACTTTTTTTATTTTATTTTAAGTTTTATCAGTAAGCTGAAAAAGAGTGATTATTTTTTTCAAAATAGGAAGAACCAAGCATACATTTAAGGTGTTCAAATTCCTGATGGTGTTATCTCAGTAAGGCATAAGAAATGCATGATAATGAATTTTCACGTTCAAAATTTTTCCCTTTAATATTTACACAAGAATGTAACTTAGAGTGACTGTTAACTGAAGTTTTGCAATCAACTGTTCCTTGCATAGATGATGTTAAATTGTAATGTGACTTTTACTTTCTTATAAGTATATGCAATTCACATTCTTTTACCAATGTGTAACCTTTCTTAAGATTTCTCTATCACTCTAAAAGAATCACGCCTTTCATTACAAAGAGAATGTAAACTATATTCATGCAGTGGAATTTATAAAATAAATAAAACTTCTTTAAAGTTAAAAATAACTTATTATCTTAAATTTTAAAAAAGTTAAACGAAAAAATTTTATGAAAAAATAAAGAAAGAAAAGTTATTTTTAATTTATAAAAAAATATTTTTTATACTAATCTTTTTCTTCTTTTTAAAATTTATTCAAACTAAACATTAATCACATAACATAATTATATATGATGTGACAATTTTGCCTTCCTTTACTGGGTATGATTATTAATCCATTTGTTAAAGTAATGGTAATTCAGAGGAAAAGAAAATTGCATCTTATCGACCTACTTAACGGAATTCTCATAATAATTATAATTATATTTATACATTTACATAGTACTTGTATTTTTCTCCTGTTTTTCTATTACATTGTCTATCAGAATTTTTGCTTTCTCCCTTTTTATTTTTACTTCTATCTCTCACTTCTCTATATTTCATAATCTTCAAAGATGGGTGTATGACTAACCTTAGTTTAAAAATGATTCATAATAGATAATGTATATTTACTAACCTTATAGGACTGTTCAAATCAATTTGAGATTTTGAGATAATCTGCACCACTCTTTCCTTCTCCCTGTAGCCCTTTACATGAGAATACAAACCAAATTAATGATATTATTTTTTTAAAAGCTGTAATGGTTTTATCCCTTTTATATTTTCTCTCTAGATTCACAATTTGGAGGAGGTTGTGTCTTCATTGATGATGAACAAAACAAAGCAACCGGGTTAAAAAGATGCCCAACCAAATCTACACTAAGAGCTATAGTTGTCATTACTACTTTTAAGAAATGTGAGTAATTAATTTCACTTTTTTTAATATCACCTACAAATCTTTCTTATGGTCATGAATTGATTTGATTTGAATAGCTATTAGGGTATAAATGGTCAAGGGCATGTGATAGTTATAATCATGCCTTAATATAGGGAAGCGTATGGTCTGTCCTGCATTTTATTTAAGTTAGGCTTTATTATTCAATTTGGCAAACAAAAGGGCTAATGATAGCTTTTTAATAATACAATTCATGCCCTGAATATAACTAAAACAGTTCCACTATTAATACTCGAATTAAATTTTGTTAAATATACTCTATTATCAATTAAAACAATAGTCCATCATCAATGAATTGCTGCATTTTATTTAAGTTAGGCTTACTTATTAAGCAAATTACGTTAACTTAAAAAACTATAAAGCTAAAGGGTCATACTTTATGACATGTATCAACAACAATAATTGTAAACTAACTTTTGTTTTTTTATTGTAACTTATTGTCTACCTTTAAAAAGATAATTTATCTTATTATATTATTTATTATTTTTAAAGTTTATTCTTTAAATTAAACACAAAAAATATATAATTAAAAGTACACTAGATAAAAGGTTAATCTCAAATTAATTTATACTAACAAATTTATAACCATTAACAAATTTAGTGATATGATAATTCCACAAACAAAATTATACATACATGTTTTGGATTAGATTCAAAACCCAATTGAATCTTAAATACAATTTAATTTTTTATTTTTAATTTAATTTTATAATTTACCTTAGATTCATCTATTACCATGATCATACACCTAATGATAGTTATTTCCACTTGCAAGTTTACATACTATAGCTGGGACTATATAACCCCTTAGCCCGCCATTTGATCCATGGTTTTAATATTCACTCCCAAGGATCGTAGGGCTGGGACCCGAGGCTACGGTGTAGCACAGAGAAGGAAGCATGTAGAGGAACAGAAGAAAAGGAAAAAATACCGCTGAACTAACTTCCTCAGTCGGCGGTTGATGATATAAATAAAATTTTGAAAATCTAAAATCATTATTGGAATCCAATAGGACAACGAATATATCAAAATTAATTTTCAAAAACAATTTGAACCAATGCGATTGCGGATATATCAAAAAGATAAATAAAAAATTAAAAAGCGAGAAGCAGAGTGAGATAGATAGAGAGAGAGAGAGAGAGAGAAGGAAGAGGGAAAAAGATGAAGAGCGGTGCGGTGGGTGGTGGAGGTGGTGGTATGGGCGCGGTGCCTTCGTACGGAGTTCCGGCGAAACGACGGTGGAGAGGGTTCGTAATTGCGGTGCTTGGTCTCGTCATTCTCTCCATGCTCGTCCCTCTCGTCTTCTTGCTCGGTCTCCATAACGGTTTCCACTCTTCCGGTACTCTCTTGATCTCGCCAAGATCTGTTTCCTCTTTATTACAACATTGCCATTCCCTTCTCTCACATTCTCTCTTCGCTATAGATCCACGTCAATTTCACCTCTCTTCTCTCACACTCAACTAATCGAAACATGAGATTGTGCTTTAGATCTAACATTCTCATACTCTCTGCACACAATTGCATTGCATCGCTGAATCTTCACTTGTTTCTAATCAACGAATCGAGTTTCTTTTTTATTGTCTATTATATCACTTTAAGCTCGAAGCAGTGTTGTTGTCTGTGAAAGATCTGTGTGCTTATTTTGTTTTTTGACAGAGAAAAAATAGTAATGATGCTAGTGAGAAATTACGTGTTTACGAGGAGAAGTTAAATGCACGTATAATTGGAGTGCAAAAATCTCACAGGACGTACACATTATATTTAATTGCTCGATTTTTTATTTATATTTTAAAGTTGTGAGTTCAATTACGGATAAAGTAATTTATAGCATGTTTGGAACTGCGTTTGAGTATGCTTTAAAATCACGTTAATATATTGGTTACAACTAGTAGTTTTGGAGTAAACATGGATCAGTGACCGATCAAACGTGCACATAGTTTATTCAATTTTTACGTGAAGAACCTACGTTTCACTTTTTTCTTTTTATTTGCAAATAACGATGTTCTATTTGTAATTATATATCTGTAGTGTAGTGAAATTCCAAACTTCATATATATGTACATGCAGTGATTTTTTTCTCTGCCCCCAAAATATTGTGTGCCTTATCTTCATATCTTTTGCTTATTTCTAACTCTTGGACTCCATTTATGGTTGTGTTTTTGCAGGATATGTGTATGAACAGAGAAATTCTCCTTCGGTAGGCATTCAGTAAAATGTATCTGTGGACCTGTTACAAATTTTCTGGTTAAGTTTATTCTTGTTGATGTCGCTGTGTTTTCTTTTTCCTCCTGTTGCTTCTTTTATTTTCCAAATCAGAATCAGAAAGGTCTTGAAAGTTATGACAGACATGATGTTGGCCATAACGAGAATCAGTCAGAGGTACCATGGTTTACCCCTTCCCTAGCTAGTTTAAGCTGTACATTTTGTTATAGCATTCTTCTGTGGAATGTTGTTGTTGGACATAGTAACCTCACGTCACGTCCCCATTTTTTAAATAGTCAATTGGGTGTATATACTTTTCAAATTTTTATTGGTATGTGCAAGTATTGATGGTATATTGTCAAAGTGAAGGAAAATGGGTTTGCAATTAATTCATTTAATAGCATATCAGTAATAAAGTCTGAAATTTTTACGAATAGCTGATACATGACCCTGATAAAACTTTTAACACAAACATCCAAAAAATTAAATTTTATTTCCCAAAATCCCGAATTGATGTTGTCTCTTTTGTAAATTTCTTTTGCAGGGAGAACAATCAAGTCATGTGAAGGAACTAATTACAAAGTTTGAACCTACTCTTCCAAAGGTTCTCTGCATAGTACTCTGGTGGTTAATTTTGTACTTCTTGTTTGATAAAATCTTTTATCAATAAATTGCTTATTCTCTCATATCTTTTAATTGTGGGATGAAAATGTATTTTTTAGTCTTGCCTAGTGTAACTTTAAAAAAAAAAAACTTGACATAATATTTGGTTGAAGGGGAGGGGAGGGATGTTTCTTGTTTAGTTCAGGAATTTGGAGGGGAAGGGAGGGAGGGTCAAAATCCTTCCCGACAATTTTTGCCTCCCATCCAATATTGGGGGGATTTGAAGGGAATGGAAAATGCTTAAATATTGTAAACTGCACTGACTATGTTATCCTTAGTAAAGCTTAATTTGTCTATTTTAAAGATATAATAGTAAACTATTTTATTTTTCATCCATTAAAATCCCTCCCCCCTCCCTTCCTTTCAACCAGACTGTGAGAGTAAATCATGCTTCAGTAATTGTCATCATTATAAGGATTTTAGTTCCATGTCAATCTTAATATTTCATCCATATAAGTTGTTGAGGATTTGGTTTTTATTGTAGTAATATAAATTTATTAGAAATAAAAATAGGGAAAAGTACAGGTAAAAGAAGTATAAGATATCTCAAAAACAGAAAAAAAAATGTGAGAGAACAAGAGAATATAAAAACAATGCATCAAAGCTACTCAAGTTCTAAGCATGTTTGAAATGGAAGCTAAGGAGAATACCAAGTATGCAATCCTATCCCATAGTTGAGAGGTATAGACATAATCCTATCCGAACTATATGCACTAAAGGACTGCAAATCACCTCTTCTATTTTGCAGAAGCCTTTGTACCTGACCAATTGAAATTGTTCCAGAGTAGGAGACACCCAATGCTAACCAAAATCCCAAAATAAATGCTCCTTAAAAAGTGGCCAGTGGCCATCTTACAATGCGAGAACTGGTGCACAAAAGTATAGGTTTAATGATTTTATTTTTTAAGCATGCCATACAGCAATTGAGTTGTAGTTATTTGCTACAATTATATTTAAAATTTTGTGTCTTCTTCAACTCCCACCTTTTTCTTTTTGTAGTATTTTCAACTGTCAAGTTAGTTTTCTTTATTGAATGAGACATGGACTAGTATTTCTGTCTTTTATGTAGTATATGATATCTTTAGTGATTTGCATGGTGACACTTCATTATTAGTGATTTAAGGCAGTGAATTTAAGATTTTTCCATAGCTGGAACCATGAGCATTAGTGCAGCTGCCTTTCTATTTTTATAATTATTTAACAATGAAGATTAACCTCTTACACTGTGAAGTTTGTCTTTTGAGCATGATCAAGTAATACAGAATATTATAAAATATTATTAGTTGCATATTATTATCCTGAAGACATAGACCTTAGTTGTAGTTTTAATTAGTTTATATAATAGTATAAATGGTAATACTAGTACTAGTAGTATGCATAATTGAGGATACATCATAATTATGATTGAATTAATGTCAGGCTTTCCTTAATTTATGAGATTCAGTTTTATAAGAATTTAAATTTTATCTGGTGTCTTTGTTGTCAGGTTAAAGGATTTAGTGTGACAGAATTCAGGATTACCTAGATGTTGAGGCATTGTAATTTTGGGTTTCCAAAGAATTAGAAGATTAATTACTAAATTTAGTTCCTTGCTTCCTCTAGTTTCCTTCAATTTTCTAAACTCCTTGCTCCACTGTAACATGACTCATTTATTCCTGGATTACGATTCTTTTGTATCATTGGGCTGTGAATGTGCTGATTTGTCTATAATTATTAGGAAGAAAGATTAGAAAAATCAAGGATAAGAATCCACCTTGCAAATGGAACTTAAGGGGGCTGGGGGACATTGCATCGTATGTATCTAAAATGTGCAATATCATTGATTATCAACAATAATTTTATGTCAGGATGTTCTCAAGAACTATGCTCAAGGAGGCAAGAATGACACCATCAATAGGGGTGCCAATGACGATAAACAAAGAGGTGGTTCTACTGATTCAATGTCATGTATTCACATCCCATGATACCTTGTATCTCATTTTCATCTTTTTGGTTTTTTTAATTTTAAATGATTTTCAGGTTCTAAGTTGCCACCTGATGGTGTTCTGCAATCACCTCCAACTTCAAATGTATGCGTTTAATACTCTAATTTGTTGAAAATTTTGTTGAACACAGTAATTAAACAATTGTCCCAAATAGTTCAATTCATAAGATCTACTTGGACCTCCAATTTATCCTAATAATCTGAATAAGCACAAATCTAGTATCTATTGTAACTATAGCAATCCTAATCCAACAATATTCACAACTTACTAAGAACTAACATAATATAGACAAAGTCATACTCTCTGAATCTATACTTCAATTTTCAATCACAAAGGGACATAAATCTATACTCTCTGAATATGATCTTCAATTTTCTTTGCCTGCACTAGAGTAATATGCAGTGTTTGTGTATTGGATTGGATAGTAACTTTACAAATCAATTCTGGAAAAGGGCTGGACTGGGTTTTGCAGCAGTTATGGATAAAAAGAACCAAAAGAAAATTTAAATTGAGATCAGAAAGACATAATGGCTATACAAGAGAGATGTATTTTGCACAATGGAAGGGGGGACACTGGGTCATGATGGAAACTGGCAAGTAGTGCTATTAGCCATGTTGAAAATTGAAATGCAGTCATTTCAATGATTGCTCAGAATAGTTCAATTCATGACACTGATTTAGACTCCTTAATTTAAGCTAACTACTAATGCCATACAACAACTAGTACAAGCCTAGCCTAATAACACTCAGGCTGAGTGTTATAACATAAATTATACAACTTAACTCTGCATTACACTCAAGCAAAATTCTTTACAAGCTAGATTATATATTAACATTCATGTAACTACTTGAACTAATTAAATTCTGTAACAGAATCCAAGAAGTGGTCATGTTGAAAAAATCACCAGCCCTAAAACAAGCTCTGCTGATGAAAGTGGAAAGTCTTGCGAGCTAACATTTGGTAGTTATTGCCTGTGGCAACAAGAACATAGAGAAGAAATGAAAGATGCTATGATTAAGAAGTTGAAAGACCAACTATTTGTGGCTAGAGCTTATTATCCTAGCATTGCAAAACTCCCAGCACAAGATAAATTGTCTCGCCAACTGAAACAGAATATACAAGAGCTGGAGCACATGCTTAGCGAATCTACTACAGATGCTGATCTTCCACCACTGTAAGCAGATATTTTCACATGATTTTTCCTTATTTTTATAGTTTTACTTGTTTGAGTTGCATTCTGCTTGAGCTGTTAGTGGAATATGATAGTTGCAATTGGGCATAAATCACATGATTTCACCTTCAATCAAGTGATCTTATATATATATATATATATATAGGGGGCATTTCAAGTGAGAGAGTTTGTTATTGAGAGGTGAGAGACATTAATAATGGTCACTTTTTTCTCTCTCTTGCCAATTATTTGATCCAATGGCCATTATTAATGCTTCTCACCTCTCATAATACAAACTCCTCTCACTTGAAATGCCTCCTATATATATATATATATATGCTTACAAAACCTAGTGGGATAAGGCTTTTGTTGTTGCTGCTGTATATCTGCTCACAGATCAGGCTTTTTAGTTTTCTTGAATCCAGCTGATTTTCACTTGTCCAGACAGTCCATAAAGTAGTTCAATTGTCTGCAACTTCTGTTCTACTTTGATACACCTTTTAGCTCCGTTTATGGTTCCCTAGACAATTGTTGGGCTAATATGTTATTCTCCAAAAGTGTAGCCTTATCTTTATTTTCTGTCTCAAATTTGTTCTGTCTTTGGGTTTAATATGTCATTTCATTTGTTTTACCTCGAACCCAAAGCTATTACTTCGATTCTTGCCTTTCAAGATTGTCATGAACCAACTCTCTCAAAAGCTTAAGCTTTTATATGTTAGCACTTGGTCAAGGAGGTTCTGATATCATTTCATGAACCAACCCCCCCAAAAGCATAATAAGCTCTTAGGTGTAAGCGTGTGAATTTCTCTTAATAAGGATTGACCACACCTGTGTTTTCTCTCTTTTTCTACATTCAAATGCTATAAGTTAATGAGAAATTTTACTTGGTAGTCTATATTATTTTACAGGGTTGAGAATAATTCAAAGAAGATGGAAATTGCAATAAACAGAGCAAAATCAGTCACTGTGGATTGCAACAATGTTGACAAGAAATTGAGACAATTAGTTGATTTGACCGAGGATGAAGCCAACTTCCACATGAAACAGAGTGCATTCTTGTATAAACTTAATGTTCAGACAATGCCAAAGAGTCTTCACTGCCTGTCACTGAAACTAACTGTAGAATATTTCAAATCTTCCCATGATGGGGAAAAGGCCGATGAAGAAAAATATATTGATCCCTCATTGCATCATTTTGTTATTTTCTCTAATAATGTGCTTGCAGCTTCAGTAGTTATCAACTCCACTGTTTCTCATGCAAAAGTATGTCATGTTTCTAGTGATTCACCAGTGAATTGATAGAGGTTGAATTTTAGCAGTTGTACTAATAACTTCACTGATTGCTGCATAATGTTTCAGGAAAGTTCAACTCAGGTTTTTCATGTGTTGACTGATGGGCAAAATTATTATGCAATGAAGCTCTGGTTCTTAAGGAACAATTATAAGGAAGCTACTGTTCAAGTGTTGAATGTTGAGCAACTTGAGCTGGACAGCCAAAAGGGAAATCCATTGCATCTATCCTTGCCTGAGGAGTTCCGTGTTTCATTTCATGGTTATGATAATCCATCCACGGACCAGATTAGAACAGAATACCTTTCAATTTTTTCTGATTCGCACTATTTACTTCCTGATATATTCAGCAATTTGAGGAAAGTTGTGATTCTGGATGATGACGTTGTTATTCAGCAGGACTTGTCTGCCCTGTGGAACATAGACATGGGAGACAAAGTTAATGGTGCAGTGCAATTCTGCTCGGTAAAGCTGGGTCAGCTGAAAAGTTATCTGGGTGAGGATGGTTTCAATCATAATTCCTGTGCTTGGATGTCAGGGTTGAACATAATTGACCTGGTGAGGTGGAGAGAGCTCAGTCTTACTCAAACTTACAAAAGATTAATAAAAGAGGTAAGTTCGTTCACTAGAATTGCAATACAATATTTTCAGAAAACACTATTTGTTGGAATTAACAGCATTGAAATACTCTTGTTGAATGTAGTAGTAGTAATAGGACTGTCAAATTGGGCTGAGCTCAATGGAATGCTCCAAATAACCCAATAAAATTAGTGACTTGGGCTAACAAAGTTGACATATAAACTTATTTTGGCCAAACCTAATGCAAGCTGACCCGAATTCGCATAGCCTAATTTGATCCAACTCTCAAATCTAAAATTGCCAAAATTAACCATTAACTACTCGAATTAAGTTTTTCTTTTTGAAATTTAGTGAAATGTCATTTTAAAACGTTTATCTATTTTATGACTCACATTTTCAAATCTCTGCAAGTGGATTAAGTGATAATTTGAAAAATGACATTTTAAGCTCTAATAATAAGAATAAAGTAAGGAAATGTGAGCTTGGAGGCAGCCTGAATAGCTCGCTGCCTGCTTAGCTGAACTTGGCTAACAATTTATTAATCTGAATCGAAATTTGGCCCAAATGGGCTGGGTCAGTCCCAATTAATAAGTTCAATTGTGGTTAGGAATGGTTAGTCACTCATTATTCTTGTAAACTAATACATGTAAACATCTCGTCTACGAGTACACCTCATTAGAGTGGTATCCAAGTCGAGTAAATCATTCATTAATCACTTTCTGAAGCCTTAGTTTATTCTTTAATACTGTTAATTGGACTTGGATTTATTATTTGGCCTCACTCTCACTGTTGATTTTGTTCTTTTTGTTTTTCCTTTAATTGTGGGGAGATTTTTGAGGAAGGGAGCAGAACAAGTCTTTTACATTTTGATAGCTCATATGCTGCTAGATCTGTAGCAAATATATAATTACCTAAAGAATTCTGTTAATTTGTATGCTGCATTGTCTTTAATGATTTGTATCAATTGATATAGGTTGTATATTCTGGGTATTTACATTTTCTGATTTTGTTTATTTCCTTATATGTAGTTGCGCATGCAAAAAAGATCTATTAAAGATATTGCCTGGCGTGCAAGCTTGCTTGCCTTTGAGAATAAAATATATCCACTCGATGAGTCGTGGATTGTGTCTGGACTAGGTTATGATTATACAATTGATACTCAGCTCACTAAGACAGCTTCGGTGCTACACTACAATGGGAAAATGAAACCTTGGCTTGATCTGGGAATTCCGAAGTATAAAAGCTATTGGAAGAAGTTTATGAACAAAGAAGATCAGCTCTTAAGTGAATGCAATGTAAATTCATAATAAGTTATGGTCCCTGTGTAAGCTTGCATGTTTTGGGAATTGTAGGGGTGAGCTCTTAAGAAACAAGAGGATGCCTGTGCTATGGGTGCTCATTTTTCCGATCTAGTTTCGAAGGGGTTTTTGTTAAGTAAGTGATAGTGGTGATGAGCTTAACACACCAGTTATAAAATTAATCAGTCAATAAGGAACCTGGGAACTTCCCTGCATTTCTGGTAAAAGGATCAAGAAGTCTGAGTACCCTCACAGTTTTCAGATAGCTAATTGGCGTTGAGGTTTTCCCACTGTGCTGGTGGGCACTACGAAGATTTATACATGAGCAAGGCAGTGATCCATGAAAAGAAAAATATAAAGACAGTGCAATTGTTTGTTTCAAGAAATTTTTATCCTACATGATGTAAATTATTCTTAGCTGAGAAACAGGTAGAGCTATTCCTGGTAGTTTTTTTTATTATTCATAATTTGCTCAAAGTTTGTTCTTGATTGATGACAAGAATGTTGTCCAACAGCTCTATAAAAGAAAAAGTAACAATTTTGTCCTCTAGTAATAGTTTACTGTAACTATTCTTTTCAATTCATTATTGTATACCCTATCACTTAAACATGCTTTTCATGGCGAGTAGGAGACAAGATCGGAGTGTGGTATTTTGCTCTCTGGATGTATGCTGAGGCAATGGAATTGGGATTATGTAGATTTACAGAAACTGTAGACAAGCTCCGTGAAATATGCTTGGCTATTTAGCCAAAAGAATAAATTTTATATCTATATATATATATATATATGTTGAAGTGTAATTTAATATAAATGATTGAAAGGAGTGATTGAGAAATGCACCTGACGCAGTTCGTCTAGAAGTGTAGAAGACCACGATCTTAGGCTTATAAATAGAGTGGAGTCTCTGCTAAGTGGTAACTGATTACTCGAATCTTTGTATAAAACCAACTATTTGGAAGTCTTTTAATATGGAATGTAAGGCTTTATTTAAGAGTTTGACGGGAAAGGGAATAAAAAATTATAAAGTAAGCTAGGAGGAAAGAGAGTAATAAAAAAATTTCCTAAATTGAAAAGAATTTGAAATATAGACTTATTAGGAGAATTTATAAAATCTATTGAATTAGAAAGATTTTAAAATAAAGATTTATTAAGAGAATTTATAAATCTCTCCCTTTCATCTAAAATTTTTTAAATAAGAATCATTGTTATACAAGTATTTTTCTTTTCTCGAACAAAGTCTAAAATATTAAAAGCGCATTTCACTGAATAACTCAACAGAGATGAAATGAAAATGTTTGACTTGAATTCAAGATTTGTCCATGTTTAATTTAAATTGTTAAATTTTTTAACATGTATTTAAAGATACATGATAAAGAATTAATAAATATGATTTTTATTAAAAGTTGAAACATTTAATATTATTGATGTATTAAATCAATATCGTGTGATTTTCAATAAAAAAATATTATATATAGATTTTTATTATGTCATTAGATACATTAAAAAAATTGGTTAAACTATTTTAGAATTATAAGTATTTTTTACCTGTTTTTTGAAATTTTGTAAAAAAAGATTATCATTAAAAGGAGAAAAAAAAATGGTCTCAGGAAACTATCTGTTTAAAAGTTTGATGTAGAAATCAACGAGAGTTGGATACATGTGATACATGTTTAATTATTTTTAAGTAAAATCTTATATTTAAATCTTGTGTAGGAATTCTTTTTTTGCTGAGAGCTCATCGTACTGTGACTTAGAAAAAAATAAAGCACGACGCAGGAAGCACCAATTTCTTTTTTTATCTCAAAACCTCAATCTAATCGAGACTGTTTTGTCATTAGATCAGCTTATCCTCTTCTCCCTAACAAGACTCTTCGTGATGAAAAAATAAAATATATATTTGATGATTCAAAAGAAATAATAATATGCTTAAAATAAGAAATAATAATAAATAATAATGGGTTGAGTATTATGATATTGTAGTGTACATTGAACTGAATTGACACTCCACTAGTAGAAATAACTGGATGAGACATCAATTTTTCTTTTTCAATAGATGAGAAATATTATTTCAAGGTCCCAGTGGAGTATTTACACACCAAATTTTTAATGAAGTTTACAGGAATCTAGTGGATTTTAATGCATAAATAATATTTAATTTTTCAAAATATTGCATTGTTTTCCCACAGAAATGAGTCTATCATTTCACTTTAGAACGACTTTCATTTTCTTCGCAGACAAAAGAAGATCGTGTTACAACCTATAAATAAGAAAGAAAAGCACAAGGTGCTTACAAAAAAGACCGGTGAAGAATCCTAACAGAAGTAATGAACGTGGATTCCTCTACAGTGAGTTTGTCTTTTATAGATCACTTTTAACAAGACTTCTTGAGAAAAGGAAAATGAAAGCATCCAAATTTGGAATATGCTTTCCCTTTGTGTTATCATGCAGTAGAGAAACCATTCAAATCATTGTTCCAAACCAAACTGAACATCCAATGGTCAATTAACAAAAATTATATTTAATAGTAAACCGAAGGTAATAATTTTAGTGAGAGAACGAGCAACTGATAAACAACTCACTCATTAATGGGTAACCATAAAAATCAGAATATAATAGTAACATCGATCCTTATACAACTTCTCTTAGGTGCTCCCGAGCAAGAGAACTTTCTTGCTTTATATAATTAGTTCCCCTTCAACTATATAGTCATCACTGTTTTCTATTTCAAGTATACTTTTTTAAATGTTATTGCTGAAGTGGTACACATATTAAGGCAAAAAAAATCACGTGCTTTGGAAACACCTAACATCATCTCTTTAAATCAAGGAACATAAAGGGATGGATGCTACAAAGGATTAGAATCAGATGACAAGGGCAAACAGGAACCTAGTTGTGATGGGTAATGGCTGTGTTACTATGAAAAGGAGGTCTCCAAGCTGAAGCAGTGAGCAAGCAAAGGTCTTTCCAACCAAGTTTAAGGATACCATTGTCCTCCACTAAGGTATACCCTTCAGATGGGAACATACCAAGTAGTAAACTAGCTTGAGTTGCAGCATTACCAGCTAGAGATATACCCCTAAAACCACAATGTTGAAGCTTTTCCCTCCAGTTGTGAAACTTTGGTTCTCCAGTCCTTGATGGCCCCCCGACAGCTAGCACATTACGAATCTCTCTAGACAATAGTTGCTGTTCAACCACATGTCTCTCCTCACTTTCTTCACCATAGCTTGACCCAAGAGAATCAAATAATGCTGAATAGTAGTGTATGGCTTCCACAAACCTCCCCAAGAATGAACCTGTGTTGCTCAGGTCCTGCTCTACCACAGTCACTACTTTAGGTGCCAACCTGCAAAAAACAAGCCCCATGCAAAACAATGCAGCATAAGAAAATTATTCAATTGTTATTATTACCAATGTTAGTAATCATGTTCATGCATACTCTCGACCCATCATTATATTATGTTTTTCAGAACTTACTATATAATACATTCTACAGTCTCTTTTTGTTTCTGCCCATTAATATATATGCAGAGAGAGTAATCCGAAACAAAAAGACATAATCATTGTTCCCAATTTTCCTTAGAAAAGAAAAAAGGCAGAGACATAAAGTGAGTACTAGAGCCTATAAAGGTGAAAAAAGGTTTTTGGGGAATTCTTTCATGAAAAGTACTATAACTATTTCCAATTGTACTAACCCCCACTCAGCTCATATCAGCTACCTCCAGATCATGCAAATTATATATACAAGGCATAGTAATATAAACCCCATGCAGGATATAGAATCACCTACCTCTGCAAGAGCCACAAAGTGTTTGTGTCTGAACCAGTAACATCGTAGAGGGAATGTTGCAGCCAGTGAACAGCAACTGCTTCGGTTTTGCTTACATTGAGCCTCTCGGGGTCAAGGTTCCCAACTCTCTCAGCCACTGGAAAGAACTCAAATGGAAGGCCAAGTTTGTTAGCAAAATCAGACAACCTCTTGCCCGTGGCTTCAAGTGCTTCCATGGAGGTACCAAGCCCTGTGATCCTCACATAAGGGGGTCCACCAGGTCTTGAAGCCAGAATGTGAAACAAACCAGGCCACTGTAACCCCTGCATTATGTCCAGATCTATGATATGCACCCTCTCTTCCCTTTCAAAAGCTTCTTGTATAGCTTGGTTTGCTGTGAAGTGTGAGAACTTCACAAATGGACTAATGCCATTGAACACTTGGAATGCTGATTCTACCTTGTGGCTTTGATGGGTATGTGGCAAAGTGGCATATATTCCCAAACATGAACTCACTAACCTTGCTGATATGGCTTCCGAGAAATAAGCTGCCACACGTTGTGCTGATGTACCAAATGGTGTTGACAGTTGAGAAATCTCAAGCAACATCTTGTTAGCATCTTCTAGATTCTCAGCTGAAACTGCTTCTGCACACTGAAGCAGCAAAGTGAGGAGATGCAAACCCTCTTCATCTTTTTTCTTTTGTTCTCTCAACTCCTCTTTCTTCTTTCTTGTGAATGCCACCTCAGCACTGCTGGTTGTTCCTAGATCTTCCTCTGGAGGGTGATTCTCATGGCGCTGCTTCTCTTGTGAGGGTGAATAATGGGGTGTTGTTGATGGTGGTGAAGGTAAAGTAACCAAAGAAACTGAAGGGTTGTTGTTGCTGTTATTGTTGTTGCTATTGCTGGTATCATGATGGTGTGTGATTTGAGGCACACCCCAATTGGACAACATCTGTTGATTCACAACCACAGCAGCACCTGATGAATCTGTGAAGTGTAGATTAGGAACAATGCCATCAACACGGTTCATAAGCTTCGCTGAGGACACAGAAGGAGGTAGAGGAACCCCTTCTGTGCTCCTTTTGTTTGGTGTGGTGGACTCGGTGAGAAGAAGCCTCAAGCGGTATTCAAGAACCATTGCAAGGTTTGGGTTGCAAGGGTATATAATCTCCCTCACGTTGCTGATTAGTTGAGGAATTGAAACATTGTTGGAGCTGTGAATAAGATCCTTCAATATACCATCGATCCAATTACTTGCTGCTGCTGAGGTATCTTCCATAGAAGAAGAAGAAGAAGAAGCAACCACGTCAACAATATTAGCACCACTGTTTCTTATATTGTTGTTGTTGTTGTTGTTGTTGTTGTTGTTGTCTCGGTTGTTTCTTTGGCTTTGAGATGGAAAAAGTGGCAAACCTGAGAATCCACACACTGCAGGCACGGGGTTGTTGTGGTCTTGACTTTGGCTTTGACTTTGGCTCTCAATAAGACCTTGGAAATGATGATGTTGGTGACTGTAGTTTGGAGAAACACCAGAGGGATTGATGGAAGAAGGTAGCATCATAGTGGAGTAGTTGGTTGTGACCGTCACAGTGGGGTAATTTGGAATAGCAACGTTATCTCTTGACGAAATATTACTAGCGTTACTATTATTATTACTATTACTATTATTATAATGATAGTTATTGCTATTACTATTATTATTATTATTACAACATGTACCTGCGGCTAACGTTGTTGCTGTTGTGGTGGCCCCTTTTTCTAAGGTGCCCAAGTTCATGTTGGTGCTGTTTCTACGAGGAAACCTAGGATAATCACTTGTGGAGGAAGAGTTGTGAGGTGGGGTGGCATGAACTTCCATCTCCGAAGCCATTCTCTTTCTCACCATTTTTCTCTCACAATGGGGTTGTGTCATGCCATGTAGGGGGTTGTGTTCTTCACCACTCATGTTGCTTGAGTTAGATGCACTGGTCAAAGGACTAGTAGCACTTCCACCGTTGTTGTTAACATTGCTATCTTCAGTAATATTGCCTCCACCACTGAACAAAGCACAAGCAGCCATTTTGATATGGATGGATATAGAAAAGTGATGGGTTCAGTTCATAAGAGGGGAGAAGAAATTTTTAAGTCTACCTTTTTTTTCATGTGTATAATACTAATAATTAAGGGCATGGTTTAAAACAAAACATGTGTGGTGTGTTTTTGCAATTTGTAGTAGGGGGGGAGCATAACATAACCAATGTTACAAGAAGATAACGTTGTTAAGATTGGGACAGTGGCTATAGGATTCCCCCCTCTTTCTCTCTCTAACACGCTTCTCTATGCCTTTTGCCTTTTGGATGGTTGCGATATGAGGGTGCATAACAAGAAAAGGGAAGAGGATGTGTGTGTGTGTGTTGACACTGGCTACGGCGGTTAGTGCTTCGTCTTTGTGCATTTTGATTTTATTTATATGTTGCTAAGTATGTTATTTTTATTTGACATGAATGAATGTGATGGTGCCATATGATATGATACAGTTAATAAAAAGTGTAGAATATACATAGATAGATAGCTAGGGAAAGAGGAAAGGAGGGGAAGAGCAATGAAGGGTAGGTAGTGTTGCAGTTGTGGTCGGAAATTATACAAAGCCAAAGCAAAGTAGATATTTTTATTTCTACAATTTCGTCGTTTTTCAAGCTGACTCGGTATCTACTTGGTTTTAAATCAACAATGATTCATAATCATGAATTTAATTTTATTTACGATGTTAAATATCACTCAAATATGTACTTAAATTAATTTAAATTGTATATTTTGCCAAAATTAAGTTATATAACATTAGTTTTTATGTGGAAAATGAGAAGATTGTGAAAAGAGGAGAGGGAGAGTGGTGTCGCAATGAACGAGGAGAAGGAGCTGTCAAACCTCAGTTCCCAAAAATCTGAATCGTAGCGTTTGACATTTTGCTTTCAACTGAGGCATCAGCAACCGGCTTTTTCCTCTTGACTTCATCTCTTTTTTTCTATTTTTTATTCTTTTCTTTTCTCCCATTAACATATTTTGTCAAACCAACCACTGCAACGGACACATTACCCAAAAGCTGGCACCAAAATCAATTACCAAAAAGGAACCTCAGAACCCACCCTCTACTTTCTATCATTTTTATTTTAAATATTAACATCATACCATAAAATAACCTTATTTTGAATTGTTAAATATATGTTAAAGTTAATCTAAATCAAATTTTTATCAAAATGAATTATCTGTATTGAAAAATATATTTTTCTGACCATAAACCAAATGGATGAGTGTACACATTGCTGTGAAAGTGATTTCAGATGCTGTGATTCCCATCCTAACGAAAACAAACAAGAATTAAGTTGTGGTGAAGAGTTTTAAAATCATAAAGAATTTATTTGCACATGACTTGTAGTTGTAGAAGGAAAACGCTGTGTTGAACAAAACATTCTGCACAATCAAATCAAAGATTTTCTTGCCATATCAAATATTAAACTCTCGACCTTTCCCTTTCTTTCCTTTTCGTCTAAAACGCATAAACAATAGTTGCTTCACGGGACTCCCCATAAGGAAAAATGTAACCAAAAGATATAATTTTATATTACCATGCATCGAAAATGTTGTTTCTTCTAAAATATATATATATTTTACAATATTGTTTTTTAAATTCTTAGAAACTCAATAATATATGGACATAACTAATATTGGGTTTAAATATAATAAGATAAATCTAAGCGTGGATTAACAAATATTCTCGACTCTCTCGAGTAATGTTAGTAAAAAAGTACGATGTATAATGTTGATGTAACCAATGATCACCTAAACAAAAGAAAGCAGAAGTACACGAAATTGTCAAGTTATAAGAGAAAGGACGATGACTGCAAATTGCATAAACAAGAGAGTACAATTACACGAGCAACATAAAGATATAATTCGCTATCATATGTGTGGAATGAACTGGTTAACACAAACCAAAAATACATAAAATAGTATTATAACAATGTTATTTTTTATGAAATGCATATCTAAAAATAACGAAGTATGATATACTTAATGTTAAAACAAATTAAAACCCTAAGTGTTTGTTTTAGTTTATTTGAGACAAATCATTTTTATACATTTAAATATACTCTTGACTAAATTAGCATCACTATATTTCTTGTTACGAATAAGAAGAGTTTAATTTTCTTCATGCAAATAATTTTAAATATAATTCCAATATATATATATATATATATATATATATATGCTTTTAAAGTACTACATTTGGCTACTTGTCTGTAAAATAAACAATATTTTTGTCCTTTATTTGGATTCTCTCGAGCCAACAGTGCTACTATGGCTTTGTTTAGAGTGAGCTAAAAAGGTGAACGTCTTTATATGAATAAATAAAAGTGTTTTTGAGTTGAATCGTACATCGTCCCTCAATTTACTTTACCTATAGATCTGCCAATTCTAGTGTTGCGTGCCCTTCTAATTATATTATGGGTTTTACTAACCAACAATACTAATGATTTGTTTAGAAAAAAACAAATTAAAGCAATGATCAAAATATTTACAAAATAAAATTTTAATATTTTTTGTTCTCATTCTTCTTTGATATAAATTTTAAAAATTTATTTCTCTTCTCAATTATTCCTTCTAAAATAAATAAAAAGATAAGTATTCGTTAAAATAATAAATTAATAATTTAAAGCTATATTTTCTATATATTAAAAAAATTATCGAGAGGTATTTTTACTTTTAATTTTTTACCAATGCCTTCTAAATATTAGCAAACATTTATTGAATTTTTTATATATACAAATATTATTATTAAATACTAAAATATGAAATTTTGAAAAGCATTACAAAAATATGAAAAATAAATATTAGTATTTTTTTTATGATTATTAACTGTTTAAAGGATGAGATTTGATTACTTAAATAGTGAAAAATAGCTATTAGAAAAGTTTTGAACCTTCAATTCATGCGTTCTGACTTCATGCTCGAGTTTTGATTTTTTATTTTTTGTTTATCATTAGCAATTTCTCAAGCATCATATATACACATAATTAAATAAAAAATTCACATTTCTGTATATTATTCACTCAAAATACCATAATTAAAATAATTACTCACGTTTATCTAGTAATACATTCTACTTTAATAGTTATATAATTTTATCCAAAAAAAATTTTTGAAAATAAATGTTATTATAACTTATACTATACTTTCAAATTTGTGTTTATTTAAAATTTTAATTTTTTTCATAATTTAAACATTTAAAATAATTATAAATTTATTTAAAAATATTTTACACTCTCTTTAAAGGTATTCATGAAGTAACATTGAAAAAGTTTTTATAAACTTAACAACAGTCTTATTTCATTAAGTCCTATAAACTGTAAATAAAATGATTAATATAATAACAAAATAAAGAGCAGTATAAAAGGATTACTTTTTATATATAATATTTAAAAATTACATATAGCAAAATAGAGTATTTTAAAAAAATATATAAAATTCAAAACTCGTCAATATGAAAATATTCGTAAAAATAAATAATAAAAATTTATAAACTTTCAAAATTCATCAATAAAAATTTATTTAAAAATTTTAAAAAATCAAATCTAAACAACAATGAGATTTCAATAAATAAACAAAATTAAAGTACCAAAAAATGTTATTAACGAAATTTAATAAAAACTGCTATTAACAAAATTTTATTTTTTTATATTTTGTAATTTTCTTCAAAATGATATATTTGTGTAATTTTTTTATATATTAAAAGAGCTAGTATAAAATACTATGTTATAAAAAATATTGTATAATTAATATATATATTTGATATAAAACAGTTGATATTTAAGATATTATTAAGAAGGTTACCGGAAAGGTTTAAAGTGGGGCAGTAATAACATACTGAGAGGGTAATGTGTCTCTGACAGTGTCAGTGATAGTAAGAGAAAGTTGTGGCACGTGAGAGACAGACACTTTGCTCCTCAGAGTAACGTCACCATTGAAATTTCAATGTATCATAACACTTTTATCGTACACTTCCATCCCTCACTAATCTTTTCTTTTTCCTTTTCAACATTAATTTGCTCATTTTCTCTCTTTTTTTAATATAGAAAATATCAAACACCGTTTTTTAATTCATTTATTTTCAATATTTTTATTTTCAACTTTTCTATATGTACTGTGTTTCTTAAAAATAACTATGTTTCAAAGTTAAGTACATCATATCTTAAATATCTATACATATAATAAAGTGAAATTGTTTATAATTAAATGATAGAAATGTATAAATATAAATAATGTATTTACAGTTATTATCATTGAAATTATTTGTCATCTTTTCCTTCCCTGTTCTTTTCTTATAGATAATGCTTTTTGAGTTAAATTATATTTTTAGTCACTCAAAATATTATACTCTTTCTTCTTTTGATTTTATCTGTTAAGTACTATGTCATTATATAAAATAAAAGATAAAAAGTACGTAATATTTAGAAGAATTAAGTAAAAAATAAGATATTTAAATAAATTATAAAATAAACAAAAAATTAATAGACAAAACTAACAAAAAAAAATGATAAAAATTATATAAACATGAAAATTATATTATAACCTTTTTAAATTAAAGATTAAATGAGGAGTTTATAATATTTTAAGGAACTATTTTTTTTTATTATGGATATATCTGTCATATTAAAAATCAAGATCCAGCAAAATTAAATATTGATACATGAAAAATTATATTGTTTTTAATTAAATAATACAATTAACACAATTTTTGTGTATATAAATATTTATATGAAGCATCATTAATTCATCAATATATAATTAAACTCTAACCATATATACACCTTGGTTACACGAAATCTTATTTCAAGATTTATTGGTTAATCATTGAGAAAGAAAGAAAGACATAGTTGTGCTTGTAGGAAGGTAAAAAACATTCATTGCTAATTTGCTATTGACGTTGTTTCTTCATGATCGATTGAAGATTATTCACATGCAAAGAGCCCCTAACCCCGAGTCGTCATTGTTGACCTTGAGACAAAATTTGATTTTGACCCAGATGCTCTTCCTCCCATCCTTGTTCATAGCTGATTTTGATAGATCATACATGAACGAGTTCATGACTGAGATTTTGTCATCTCAATTCATTGATGTAAGTAACTTTTCCTATATACATATAAAAGTTAGATCAAAACATGTTTTTGGTTTCTATAAATGTAATTCTTTTTAAAGATTTTTCTTATTAACTTTGGTTCTCAAAAGCTTCAAAATTT